CGCAACTAGTTAACAAATACGGACTGTTGCTGTACACTGCCTAGCAGAAGGGCAGTGTTTAGATTCATTCAACGTATATATACATGTATATATTAATATTCATTACCGCAGGTGCAATATAAATAAAATTTAATCCTCCGGCAACTGACCTTCGCCGCACAGTACGATATATAACCATGTTTAGTTATTTATCCTGAATTGTCAAAGATACCTGAAGAGGTCGAAGGTCATCAAGAAATTTACAATCTGTTAAAAATACCAGAACGTGTGAAATACCCTGGAGCTACAATTGCAAGTGATATACTACTATACGCGTGTTTAATAAATATGAAATGGTTTAAGCTAAAGTCATGATAGAGGTGGTGAACTTAATTAAAAGCATTCGTATATGAGCTCGAGAGATGATCATTTCAATTAAACATAATATTGAATATAGACGTTCTTTCGAAAGCTTCAACATGCAACCATTCCTGTACGCCATCTCGTACATTGTGCATTTTTTGAAAACTTTCTTATAAACATCACTTGAACCTCTGATCAAGTCTTCAAAGTATACCATATACTTTGTATATGAATTTGTTTATTTTGCATATCATATGCATAGCATATACTGGTAAAAAACAAAAATACATGTATATGTCTGGTACAAATGTATTGGAAAGGTTCATGAAATGGATATTTCATAAAAACAGACATCTGTATTTTCTAAATTTCAATCGAGTGGATTTTTTCATTGCGAAAATTAAATTATCATAAAGACCTTAAATGAACCTCATGCACAGACATTTTGCAGGGGATAAAGGGGTCACTGTACTTGTAGTACTCGAAGTTTCGAGTCTTTCCGATCAGCAATGTAATGGTTCTCAATGAACGGCTCTCATGGAATGAATACATGTATATACCATTCAGTTAACAGAAATATTAACTGAAAATCTCTGCCGTTCAGGCACATTTCCAAACATTTCAGTGAACATTCAGACGACTGATCGGCGCATTTTCATCTTGTTGGATGCAGTAATTGTAAACAGCATAGCAAAGTCGGTCACAGGTCTGCATTTGGACAATTGTAATGAGTCAGCACTCTGGTAAAAAAATTAAAACTAAAAATATTTTTAACTTATATATGAATTCTTATAAGAATCAAACAAAGAACACATTTTTGAAAGTATCGATATCATTCATTGCTTCTGCTATCTCGTCTAAAAATCGAGGTGTCCAGCAATATAATGAGAATGGGAGAGCATATAACAACGTCAATAAGCGAGGTTGCGAGGGCGATATTACAAGCAAGTTTTGTCGCCCCCCTTTGCCCTGGGGACGAGATAGAGAGAAAAAAGTTGCCCTAATGGTACATATTGCTGAAATCGACGAACAGCATACAGCAGTTGTCAGTTCACAAAATGCCAGACAGATCAGTACGAGATGAAGGGAACTCGATTTGCTATTTTTTATCATCCGAAGTACTGTATCGAGATTAAATGTTGACGCACTTCTTACCAACTCGTGTCGATTCATTCAAACAAATTCTTCTGTAACCTTTCAATCTCTCATCCACTTCATTATAAATTGAACATGGCGCCTGGGAAACTTTTTTTTTTCAAAATTGAGGTTGGGTTACATATGTATGTACTTTTGTTTAAACTGGAAATAGTGTTGTGTCTAGATTTCGAGAGAAGAGATGGATTTGAGTATTATAATTATTTTTGTTGTTTATGTCGCAGAGATCATCTGATGTATGCACATGCCGTACCAAATCATGACGTTTTATACTGCCTCTTTTTGTCATGCGCACTTTCAAGGATACTGTATAATCATATGTCAAGAAGCTGTATAATTATATATATGTATGTGTATGATATATCCATGTTCTTGAGAAATACATTTACTAAAATACTTTTTATTTATGAAAATCATATACACCAGTCTTCTCTTTTTTCACAGATAAATTTTACAATTGATGTTTACCTTTATGGGTTTATGTTTCTCTGCATGGCCTGCGCCGTGCTCCACCTTGATGCATACACTAGATATATGCACTAGATATTGATGGAATGCCATTTGTGCAAGCAATGTCAAGGCGCAAATTCAGAATTTAAGATGAAATATAGAGATAACGAACAACACTCAAGTCCAGAGTCCATTAGACAATACAAATCGGGAGCAGAGCAAACACGGACCTCCAAAAACATCACAGGTGAAATGGACTGAGCATTCCTCATCTTGTTTAATTGGTTGTTGTAATGAAGACATTTGGTACCAAGGACTTGCAGAACTGCTGGATGAAATTTTTTATTCTATGGTTCAAAAATGTTATTCCCTTTCCAAGTTTTATTCTATACTTCATTAATTTAATTAATTCAGTACACACACCTATTGAATTGGCATGCTTTGCAGCTTCCGACCAACAATAAATTAATTTACCCCCCCCCCCTTCTCTCTCTCTTTTTCTCTCTCCACCTTTAAATCCACTGCATTTTTCTTCAACGATATAAATAAGCAAAGAGAAAAAAGAAAATCTAAATTGTTACAACTCTAAAGCCATGTAAGGGTTTCAAAACACAAAACATTTAAATAAATGCTGCCAATGACTATGACACGCCAGGAATGAATGAGATATTGATTTTAGAGATAATTTTGTAACCTGAATAACAAATGCTGAAACGACAAAAAGTTGTTACCGTTATTTGTAACGGTTTTTGTGATTTAAACACTTACAAAGCACATTTCCGTCCACTGATTGCGATTTCTATTAGGAATCCATTTGGCCTTCAGCACTACAAAATTTGAAAGAGCTATTTTAATACACAATATAACGATTTTAAAAAAAAATGTTAGAAATGCAATGTTTTCTTTTCATGTACTTTTTCTGTGCGAGGACAATTATGTTCAGTCTAAGATGAAAGTTTTGATTTTTTTCCAACTTTTGTTTGATTTTGAGAGAGTTAAAAAAAAAAATCAATAAACCATGACACAAATTTTAATTCGCCCCAATCACTAATGTCATCTGAATTAGAATGTTCTTTCTGTCTATATATATAATTTGTCCGCACAGTGTTACCCGGAAACGTGTGAGAACCTCTTGTAACATCAGTTAAAACGACTACCCGGGTACTTTATAGTATAAATCCGCTATTTGGTAAAAGGTTTTTTTCATCGAAATGGATTTAATTGTATTTAATTCGCGTCCCTGTGGTGTAAACACCCGGCTTCGTTGTTCATTGAAAACCAAGTTATGGGGAAAAATACAAAGAAAATTTTAGGGCTTTTGTTGTGAGGCTCGTAATATTCTATAACCTTGGCTGTAGTTTAAGTGGTAACACAACGCTTACCATTGTGGAATTACGGAGTCAGATAGTCCAATCGCGGAAAAGCAATATGCTTTACAACTGTGTAAAATCCTCTTTCAAAGTAAAAAAACATTGGCTTTTTAAGTGGGGGATAACAACTCCTAAAAGAATAGATGGGTTAGATTTTCCACCAATATCGTTGTTTTGCACTGTGTCTGTAGGCAATGTAATTGGGGAAGGGGGGTTTTAATTGGGTGAGGGGGTATACTGTTGGCCCAAAGTATTTATCTTTTTGTTTTTAATGCCCAAAATTACTTTTATACTCAGAAAGTACGTTTTTATGAAATCATTTGAATAATGATGTGATATAATGATAAATATTTCTTGGCACATAATCTTTTTTATTTATTAACAAATTACCGTCAGAAAAATATACCACAGTAAAACAGTTGAAGTCATTTTATGTTCCATTAAGTAAGACAAAAGATAATGTACACCAGAATTTCTGTGATATCTGGAAATACAATAAGATTTAAAAAGTCATAATCTTACACCGTATATGTATACTTCCTGTCTTTAACAGAGGATTAATCAAATAAGCCGAAATGTAGAATATAATGACAGAAGTCGTTATTAAATGCGATATTTCACTGAGAATAAAAGCAACAATCATTTCAAAAATTCTTTGAGTTTAAAATATTTTCTTATTTGTACAGCATGTACATACATATCAATCGTCTAAAAGCCTAAAAAAAAATGTATATTCATTACACACATCATTTGTGTCCTAAACCTGTCTCCAGTTTTATCTAATTAGGATGCAGTGAAAGATATGGCGGTGATTTTCTTTAAAAAAAAATGAATTGAACTTTCCTTCGAATAAGACAGGGAAAAAAAAAATCTTCCTGCTCAAAAAGTTTGGGCTCTATTGCATGAATTCACTCTAGCATATTAATGTTGGCATGTGTACATACATGTACTATTCTAGTTACATTTTTTTTTATCTGCGCAGATCAAAATGAACACTCATTTGTTTCCTTTATGTAATGCTCTATATAGTCATAAAAATACAACCGCGTTTTAGAATAAAGAAGCTACCCAGGAGTCACAGGTTAAAAACAAGGTTTTGTCCTTGGTGCTGTTTTTTCTTCTTCTTCTTCAGTATGATGCAGATTAAAAAAAAATCACTATACAGTTTATTCTACATGTAAATGGGGGCAAGGGCCCGTGATGTTCTTTACGTTCTGTCCGACCCAAGAATTTAGAATATTTATACATTTGAAAGCTTCGTGATATTTATAAATTATTTGAGAGAGAGAGAGAGAGAGAGAGAGAGAGAATACATGTACATGTTGTTGAATATTAGAATACAAGTTTAACAAGTTAGTATATAAATTTACAATCATAAAAAATATACTGGGGCTACGATTTGACAATAATTGTGTCAAATTTTGTTGTCATCGCGTTTTCTATTTCAATAATTCAGATGAATCTGACCGGAGGACCTAATAAATAGTGTTTTGACTATTTAGATATGTTTATAATTCGCCTACTAGATGTAATCCGCGGTGAACATACAATATATAGCCACGAGCAGCCTGGTATTCCTTCTGTACATAATGTCCAATTTTTGGCCATTGTTCACGGTCACTTTCCTCTTTATTGAAGGTTGATGAATTAGATTGACTTTTACTGTCTTACATGCACATGTGTTTGTATGTATGTATACATGAAATCTTCATCAAGGTGTTTGGAGCAACAGTAATATCTCTTTGACCGAGGTAAGTTTTATCTTTTACAATTTTCTATTAAAAATGATAGCAATTAATTAAAAAAAATTGCAGTTATTTAATCCTTGATCAATATATTCAAGTGAATTAATTAATTACGATTCAGTATTAAACTTTGGATAAAGAAACAACGCGATGACATCTCTTAAATTAATATTGATTATCTTGCTGATAAATGATAGATATCTACACAATATGTTATCCGTGAATCGATAAATCCCACAGTGCAAAAACTCCTTTGTGTTAAACATATTAAGTCCAAACATACTTGGTCATTTCATTCACAGTCTTGTTATAATAAATAGTTCGAAATAAGAATAGTAAAGGCACATTCCATGCAATGTCATCAATAATCATTTCATAACTTTATACTGCAGCAAATTATCGCATAGACTGTAGAGGGCACTTGTTTCTGTGACGTCACAGCAAAGCGTGGATTAGAGTCACCGGTGTGTTTTTGAACTCGGACGACAGTGTGAACGAAGAAGCGAAAATGGGATTAATTACGTATTTTCTGATTTCTTTCACACTATACTATATGCAAGGTAGGTCATATCATATTTATGGAGTATAATTTAGTGCATGTTATTTGGACATATTGATTGTGCAGTGTGCTTTACCTGGGATTTTTTCACCTAATGCCGGTAAAAGGGTGACGCCATTTTTTGGCGGAAAGCCAATATAGCACCCGTTGACCATGATGGCTATTATTTTCCCAAAGAGGAGCAATGTTGGATTTGTGTCTACTGGAATACTTACGATTCTTCCTTTGCCATATATTATGTTGATGACCAGTAAATCTGTTTTAGTTTCTGTTTTTCACACCTTTGTGGGAAATTCCAAAAGGTGTATGCTATATTTGGTGTTGCGTAATATGGATATCACAATGTGCGTTGCGTCTTTATTTGGAAGAATTTTATGCAAATATAAGAAATATTTGGGTTATATGAAGATTAAGGATAAGAATGAATAAATCATGCGTTTATGCTTAAAATATTAGCAGACGAAACTGTCGAAAATGTAACTAGACCTAATTAAATAAAATTACCCTAAGAATTTTCTGTAGAAAAAAAATCAAATTAAAAGTGTATATTTTTAAGCACATTTGTTGCAATATATGCATGTAACACTTGTTCATAATGCACAACATGGATTTTTCAAGGACATAGCTACCCCTTGCATAATTCATTCATGTTGACATAATTATGAGCTGGGTTGTAATCAAATTGCCTAGAGGCAAACAGTACATATATAAATTATAAAAGCAGTTTCATCCAGTGAGGTTAGACTGCATTCTGCAAGTTCAACAAAATATATGAGATGTGTAAACTATGTATAAAATCACCATCATGTAGCACTAGATTGGGGAAACAAATTAAGAAAATGCTAGTGAGGGTCCTAAATAATAATGGTCTCTTCCCACTGCGCATTGTGTTTACTTACATATTTTGTATACAAGATTTCAGTATAACTCATGTAAGCAAATTCTTACAAGGAAGCTTTCTGCTTGAGAAACTCGTATATTTGTGTCAAGAGATACATGTATACTCTCAATGGTTGCTACTGAGCTAATTAAGTTGTAAATGTATGATTTTATAGGGGAAAAAGCGCCATTAACTTTAAATTAGGAAACCAAATGTTGAAGTTAAAAAGTATTTTTATTTGTTAGCATGCATGGTTAGAATAAGCTGTTTGTTAAGAGGGTAAGTGCATGCTCCTTGCTTCTCGTGAATACTTAAGCCTGTAGATCGAGTGAAAGAAATAGTCGATGTGTAAATTAAGTAATGAAGTTGTCTCTCACAGTTGTATTCCTCTAAGTAGATGTACATGCATTATGATGTACGTTAGAGTATTTTGATGATTTTAAAACACATAGGAAAGAATAGCACTTTCCCAATGTGCACCCTAACCATTTTCATTCAGGATGTGCAAACCGTATTTCAAACTATATTTAAAGAAATATAACCTCATATCATCCATTGATTCAAACATGCATAATGTCTCAGCTAGGGCATAATAACTTTTGCATGCAGGTCCGTTATAATGGTCCCTTCCCAATTGAAAATTGACTCTTTTTTTGCCAAAATTAAAGTAAAAATTCCCAAATGATAAGCAGATTGAAATTTTCAACAATTTTAACTTAAGATTAATATAAAGATCTTCTAGAGGGACCCAGTACCAAAAAGGGTTAATTAACCTCTGATGTTACACCAAGTGTAATTTTACACTACATTCTCAACATCAGCGTATGCTTTAACCTCTGCCCTATAGTTTGTTTCCCTATAGCTTGTTTCCTTTTCCATCATCCTTGATCTTTCACTCTTTGATCCCTTTCCCCTGCCTCGATCCCTCTATTCCTTCCATCTTCCTCCCTCAATTGCCTCCTCCTTTCTTCCCTCTATTCTTTTCCTCCCTCCATATCCTCCTCCTTTCTTCCCTCTTCTTCCTTCAGTTTTATCCTTTCTACACTCTATTCCTTCCCTTTTTCCATCCCAGCCTGTCTTTGCTCTATTCCTTCCATCTTCATCCCTCCATCCTATCCTCCTTTCTTCCCTCTTTTCTTTCCCTCTTCTTCCTCGATTGCCCCATCCTTTCTTCCCTCTATTCCTTTGAATCCTCTTCCTCTTCCTGACCTCCCTCCATCCCCTACTCCTTTTGTCCCTCTTTCTCCCTCAGTCTTATCCTTCTTTCTACCCTCTATTCCTTCCATTTTCTTCCCAAATTACCCCTCCTCCTTTTTCCCTCTTCTTCCCTCCATCCTGTCCTCCTTTCTAGGGCCATGGTGCACACTGAAGCACTTAAATAATACATGTACACATTTGCTCAGTAAAAGGTTAATATCCTCCCAACACAATTACCCCTAACTCTGGATAACATCATTAGAATCCAGTGGCATGCCATAAGTCTGTGTCACTATCAAGTTTCTGAAAAGTTCATTTTTTATGTTGACTCATGGAGATATATATACATAATAATTTAATAACAGTGGAATGAAAAGACATCTGTGCATCATACCTAAGCTTTTTTAAGACCATAATTGACTTAATGGGTTCATATTTCCTTAAAATATCAATATTTTTTCAAGGTCACCATGCATCGTCACATGAGAGAGACAAATTCTTGATTTTTAATAAGAATGCAAGGAAGTGATATTTCTGTATGTTGATGGGGCTTTTCCTGTCCTTACATGTATGTATGTTAATTTAACAAATCATTCTTATTTGTATCTTATGCCCTCAGTGGGACCATGATTGGCAAATAAGTCTATTCTGTTCTGTAAAAAGGATTAATTCATTTCAATGCATGTAGTCGAAAAAAACTTCAAATCAGTGTGTATATTTACACCTTTTGGAAGAATGATGCAACTAAGATTTAGTGCTGAAAAAATCTATTCTATTCTGTAAAAAGGATTAATTCAATTTCAATGCATGTAGATATAATTTCAAATCTGTGTATATTTACACCTTTTGGAAAAATTGATGTAACTAAGAGTTAGTGCTGAAATTTGTCTTGTATTGGGATTAACACGGGGAAAAGATATAGTTGATTAGAGATCTTTTATAATTGCAGTTTAAGTTAAAACGAACATGCTTCTTAACACCTCTTTGAAAATGTACCTTGTTCCACAGATTAGTCATTTTACTAGTGCCTCTGTATAAATCCTGTGGTTAAGTAATAGGCTTAGGAGGGGTTATATAGGTGTGTGGGGACTCCCGCACGGAATGTGTGTAGACACCTGTGTAAAATTCAGCATAGTTTAGTGTTGACATTGTGACATGGTTGTAAATAAAGTCAGAGACAATTTGTCAAATACAGGTGGTTATTTTTAGGGAGCAGTCATTGTGTGTCTTGATTCAGGGGTTGACTGTAAATTGAACTGGAAACGTCAAATCATCTAAGCTGGGTGTCATGTATCATACATTTATGATACATCTACCTTACTAAGGGGTGACTCAATTAAAATTTTCAGAATAATATATACACATTTCACTGCATCTTTAATAACTTATTAAGGGTTTTTTGAAAGTGTATATTATCTTTTGAGAACAGCTCATGAATTTAAATAATTAACTTTGATGACTTGAAGTTTTTGAGTAATTGGTACTACCAAACTGATCGTCCTTACTTTTTCAGGAGTGCAATTCATGCATTGCATGCATACATAGAATATGCATTTTATTTTCGGTGTCTCGGCCTAAGAAGTTTTAGGGACCAATTCAAAGTTTAAAATACATATACCTGCCAAGGAAGTTTGAATGCCATAAACTTTAGCAAGGGAGTGGAAAATGTGCGAATTGATATTGTGCGAAATACGATCAGACACATATTGCTCCATTTATAATTAATACCCCGGTAATGTTACTGTCTTGCAACACAACCCTTGTATTTTAGTCCTTATAGAGATATATATATGGAGTTTTTACACTCTATGGCATATTTGGTTTATTTCACACCCTTGATTTTAAATGCTTTTTGCTTCAGGTTAACCATTGTTGTGCTGTTTTCATGCATGCATTGTTTTTATATGTCCCCAATATCCATATATTTTGTTATGTAACAGCTTACTTGCATGCCGGTGCATGTTCAAAACAAGATCGACATACAAATTGTATGTGGATCTGATAATATAAATGGTCATATGTATACTAAAGGTTATTTCAATTCATAGCTAGAAATTCAACAATCCCTCCAAGTGAAAAAAAAACAACCTTATTCACTCATCATCCTCATGTACAGCAAAAGTTTAATATATTTTACTATTTTTAGATTTATGAAGAAATGGACCAAATGCTATCTCATGTTTCTTTAATATTTTATGAAGTTTATGAAGTTGAATTTATTTTGATCCCTGTAATGCTTATTTACATATATGGTACATTTCAAGTAAACAGCAATTGGTCCTTGCTTTGCAATAAAGTCATTAGGAGACAGACCGGGCCTGGATTTAAAGGCCAGTTTTAATTATGCTCTCAGCATGCAGAATATATGTCTCTAGTGAATGTGTGGAATATGAATTCCATTAGCTTTTTGTAGATGATAATATATATAAAATCTATTAGTGTAATATAATTCACTGATTGTGTTGCCTGAATGACCAGGAATTCTCATGGGAAATATTTACTTTAGCTAGCTTGTACTCTGAGATGATACATATATTTATAAATATGATATTGTTTATTTGCACATGGCGATATATAATCAAAAGGGGTTGTTATCAGAGGTTATAAATTTGTAGAGACACTAGTTACCATGGAATGTTGTCTTGCAGTGAATGAAAAAAATATACAAATATGGGATAGAGCTATATATGATTTCAGGAAATATTTATGAAAAAGGGTTTAATGGCTCAAGGTTAATTTTTTTTTTTGGTCATAGACTGAGGTAATTTTGCCAAAGGTTCATTGTGTTATGTACTGTAGAATTGGTTTAAGAATACAGTGTACCAGTAATATTATATGCAAATACTATTTCAAGTACTGAGCTTCCCTCTAAAAACTCCCAGTGGACACCTAGCTCTGTCAAAACCCCAAACCCTAAAATTCAT